GCTCTCCTCCCTGTCCCCGCAACTTAACTGTTAAAACAACAGGACGCTTAGTGGTGGGATTCTCCTCTCGCCCCTCCCCCTCCCCCCCCTCCCTCCGCTCTCCTCCCCGTCCCCGCAACTTAACTGTTAAAACAACAGGACGCTTAGTGGCGGGATTCTCCTCTCGCCCCTCCCCCCTCCCCCCCCCCCCCTCCCTCCGTTCTCCTCCCCGTCCCCGCAACTTAACTGTTAAAACAACAGGACGCTTAGTGGCAGGATTCTCCCCTCGCCCCTCCCCCCTCCCCCTCCCTCCGCTCTCCTCCCCGTCCCCGCAACTTAACTGTTAAAACAACAGGACGTTTAGTGGTGGGATTCTCCTCTCGCCCCCCCCCCCTCTTCCCCCTCCGCTCTCCTCCCCGTCCCTGCAACTTAACTGTTAAAGCAACGGGACGCTTAGGCCATTGTGGCAAGCATCTGGGCTCACTTTTCAGACACCACAAGTTACACGCCCAACAACCGCGTGCAGAATTGTCTGCAGAGAGTGCCTTAATTTGGCAAGTCGCACGTATGAAGGACTCTGACAATTCTGGTTGATTAGGCCAGGGTAAGCAGCACGAGACGGGAGTTTGATCCGTCTGGCGCTGGGAGCTGGGGTGCCGGCTGGGGTGCCGGCAGCACGAGACCGGAGTTTGATCCGTCTGGTGCTGGGAGCTGGGGTGCCGGCTGGGGTGCCGGCAGCACGAGACCGGAGTTTGATCCGTCTGGTGCTGGGAGCTGGGGTGCCGGCTGGGGTGCCGGCAGCACGAGACCGGAGTTTGATCCGTCTGGTGCTGGGAGCTGGGGTGCCGGCTGGGGTGCCGGCAGCACGAGACCGGAGTTTGATCCGTCTGGTGCTGGGAGCTGGGGTGCCGGCTGGGGTGCCGGCAGCACGAGACCGGAGTTTGATCCGTCTGGTGCTGGGAGCTGGGGTGCCGGCTGGGGTGCCGGCTGGGGTGCCGGCTTGGCAAAGCAGCACACTGCCCCTGGCTGGCTCCTGGGTGTAACAGATGACAGTGGCAGTCCACATCGCTCGCTGGGTGTTCATGTGGAGGCGGAGCACGCGCGGCCATCATGCTATAAAGTCAGTGACCTCAGCTATAAAATCAGTGACCGGAAACTGCAGCTATACCAAATGTTCAGAGACGAAAAGATGGAGCATTCTTGTCGGCTTCAAATTCATGACGTCTGGCTATACTCATATACAGCGCTGTGGCATTATTTCACTGGGCTCATTCATCACTGACAGAACTCCGAACCGAGCACAGTGCTCAACCAGGGCAATTACACATCGAAATCAATGCTGCCAGCGCGCACAGGCGTGGTCAAAGTTGTATAAGCAATTTTCTTTTGCAACGGAGGTAAGAAAAGTATGAAATGTCAAGCCGTGAGCATACATGCATGCTAAGAAACGCAATGCAATAAATCGCGCTCGCGAAAAATTGCAGCAAGAAAAATTGTTTTCCGAAGAAATGCGGTGTGGAAAATTGTGTGGCAAATAAATATCATGGTAAGATTTGTGCATATCAAAAAATACGATGAAAAGAAATGGGCAGAATGACAATATCATGGGAAGACATGTCGAAGACGTGAAGACATGTCGTAGGCGCATGTCGTAGGAAGACGTGGAATGAGAAGTTCTCCTGGAATCAGTTGACGGAGGCTGATCATAGTTGATCAGAGATACCGTGATCAGAGTTGCTTAGCCGGGGCTAAAATATTTCCAACGCCGCCAGAAAAAATGCAAACGTTGGGAGCCGCTGTGACGTTGACACCATGGGTAGAATGCTATTGAAGTCATGGACCAATTCAGACCACGTAGACCATACGCAAATCAATAACTGAGCACCAAACGAGTTGGTCATCTAAAGCTCCTGGGGCCACTGGGTGGCCCTACCGTGTACAGACCACTTTGGATTGGCGTGCGCGGGGAAAGTGTTCACGAGCACACCTTTGGATTGGCGTGCGTGTGGAAAGCGTTCACGGGCACAAGGATCTCTCTCTCACATAATCCGTGTACAGGTCACCTTGTATTGGCGTACCCTGGGGAAGTGTTCATCAGCACACGGATCGCTCTCTCACATCATCCTTCCAGCTCCTTACCTGCTGACTGAGATCCCGTGGCCCGGGGCCATAGCCACTAACCCACTGACTGAGATGGGAGCACCTCTGGCGGCTAACCACCGTCCCGTGGCGGCCAGAGGTCACGTGCCGCGGTCGCCGGCGTGGGAGGGCTCGCCGCGGAGGCCGTCCGGCCAGCTGGGCCAGGTTCATCGCCTTCTGGCCGGGAATGCAACTAACGACGCGGTGCTCGCGATTACTGAGAGTCGGAAAGCCGCAGGGGCGCTGGTCCGAGCCATTAGGAGCGACTTACATGCTAATGACGCGAGGCAAAATGAATGGAGGTGGTGCCGGTTTGGGGCAGGTAGCAGATTAAGTGAAATAGGATGCGGTTTGAATCACTGCAGTCCCCGGAAAGGGCACTTGGCTGGAAAATGACGCTGGCTTTGGAACGGCCGGTCGTAAGTTTGCAGAAATGGCGGGAAGCCCGACTGCTCTGGCTGTTTGGTTCCTGCGAACGAAAAAAGAACATTTGTATAAGCCTTGCTGCTAGGTTCGTTCAAAAATGATATGAAAGCTTTTGATGTTCTTATATGAAAGCTCTTCATAATATGAGACAACGGAGTAACATGAAAACTGCGAATAATATGGACGCTCGGAATAGTATGGAAGCTCGAAAAGATATAGAAGCTATCGATGGGGGCTCTGAGCTTTCCAGTCCTGACATGTGTCTAAAGCCTGGGTGTGCTAGCACTTGCCGGTAGGTAAGTACGATTTCGATTTTTGATCTGTATGAAGTGTATAAGTGCATGAACATTCTAGATTCCGGAGACCAGGCCGCAGGCGCAGCCAGCGAGCGGCGTCCCGGTCCCCCCTGAACCGATTTTTTCATTTTCACGGTAAAAGTGGTTCCTGACAAAAATCCAAAAATTAGTTTGATGTCATCTCGCTGAGCTCTATCCTTGCCACTAAAAAGATCCTGGCCACACGCCCGGCTCAGGAAGCCTCCTTCTCTCCCTCTTTGCAGCCATCCCATAGGACATTTGCACTTGCATTTGCAGCTACCCCATGCCTACTCGTGATACCGACCTGTTTTTTCATTGGCGTATATACCTGCATAGAAAAACAATACTTACGGATTATAAAGCGACAGGGACGCACCTCTGGAGGATGAAACCTCACGGGATGGAGGTGCCAATTTCAAAGCCCGTGGACAGCACGCTCTATCGCATATTTCGCCACAACTGATACTGCAACACAACGAACGAAAGAAACACATGTGCTAGCGGAGTTAAAACGATTACACCAACAAAGTCATCAAGCAAATTGTGGCTGGTGAATGTGAAGCTTATTAACGTTGTTTTTCGCTCAGAGTTTCTCGGGTCGCATCCGCGATGTTGGACGTTGTAAGTGGGGCCTGGTATTCGGCGGAGTTGCTTTTAATGGAGGCTTTTAAGCTAGTAGACTGCAACAAAAATCAGACAAAAGAGTTGGCGGGAGGAGTTTGGCGTGCGCCATCAGCAGATGAGCAGAGCAGGGTTAGAGACAATGGAGGTACGACCAATTCGCTCAGCCTTTTCAAATGTTTCCGTTACATAACAAAACGGCGAGAGAATGATGGTGAATCGTTGGCTTGCTAACACGCGTTCGAGTGAATCGCTAAGATAGATAGAAAAGTGGATCACAATCTATGAATCCCCAATCTAAATGTCTTGCAGGATCATCCCGAACGGCGCGGCGCAGTCGCATCAAACTTTACACGCATGAAGACAACTGAACTGCCAATATAATCACTGACCTGCAGTAGGTAAAAGTCAGGCTATGGTTGTCAGCAAAGAGATTTCTCAGGAGATCTTTCAAACTGACGCTACACCGGACCATTAGACGATTTAACTTTGAGATGGTCTCTAAAAACCAGCAACTGAAATCAAGATTACAACTAGTTCCATCGCACTTGGCAAAGGTCAGATCAAGTTGAAAGCCAGACAGTCTTTTGATTGGGAAGCTTGCTTTGTGGCACGGTATAGCTCCAGATTCTGTTGGAGGGAGCTCCAGGTTCCCTTATCTCCCCATCTTTGCGAAGAAATTGAGACAAATCCGGGAAAAGCCCGTTCCGTCGTCGCATTTTAGGGTGAGAACGTATCTATAGAAGGTAGGTACAGGTTGGTGTTTTTCACTGCTCGGTCCCCCCCCCCCCCCGAACTCGTTTTGCGAAGCTACGAGCTCGGGGGGCTGGGGAGTTAAATGCTGTTGTGTTTTTTGGCTCAATTCGTATTCTTTGTTGACGAGGACGTCACCAGGCTGCTTATTTTGACTTAATAAAAGCCACGGGAACTCGCTGACCTAAAATAGTCTCTATTAACCTTTTGCTT